TTTCCCCTTTCCTTTTCTTTCTCCTTTCTTTCTCCTTTCCCCTTCTCCCCTTTTCTTTCTTTCTCCTTTCCCGTTTCTTTCTCCTTTCTTTCTTTCCTTTTCTTTCTCCTTTCTTTCTTTCCTTTTCTTTCTGCTTTCTTTCTTTCCTTTTCTTTCTCCTTCCTTTCCCCTTGCCTTTTCTTTCTCCTTTCTCCTTTCCCCTTTCTTTCCCCTTCTCTTTCTTCCCTCTTTCCCTTCCTTTCCTCCATTCCCCGCCATGCTCCTGAGAGAGCCCCCCGCCACACCGCTCTCCTCCTGGGAGCGCGGGATGGTGCTCCTCTCCTGCGCCCTCTCCGTGCTGGGCTGCTGCCTGCTGCTGGGCACCCAGGCCCGCTGGCCTGAGCTCCGGACCCGGCCACGCCAGCTGCTCTCCTGCCTCTCGGGGGCCGACCTGCTCTCGGCCGCCTCTTACGCCTACGGGGTGCTGAAGGACTTCGAGGCCACGTCCTGGGACTGCGTGGCGCAGGGTGCGCTCTCCACCTTCGCCAACACCAGCTCCTTCTTCTGGACCGTGGCCATCGCCCTGGAGCTCTACTGCTCCATCGTCCGGGGCTCCACCGGCACCCGCTTGCTCTGCTGCTTCCACCTGGTGAGGTGGGTCTCCTCTACCTGGTTGGAGGATGGGGGTTGGGGGGGTCACCCACACCTCATCTCCCTGCCTCCTGTCCCCCTCTACTCCCAAAGCAGGATCGCAGAGGACTAGCGCCTTGCAATGGCTCTTGGTCTTGGAAACAAAGGCTGGCCCAAAGAAAGGGCTTGCGGTTTAACCATCATCTTGATTGGCGTTTTTCTTTTTTTTTCTTTTTTTTCTTTTTAAGCATTTAAAACTTTGATTTTTGTTGCCTTGTGAAATGCAACACACACACAAACACCCAAAACACACACATATACCCCCACCTTTAAAAAAATAAATTATTGAACTTTTTCACATTAAAAAACAACCCATAAAACAACAACACATATAAAAAAAACATATTTGCAGTCTTCGCAGTGATGTGACGTCAACATTTCCATTTTAGTCAATATATGCATCTTTGCATTATTATTATTTTTATTTCTGAGGTCTAACCCAATTGTACCTTTTTTTCCCCCGTACCCCAATTTTTAAGGAGGAATGAGGCGAGATGAGAGCCAGCGAAGAGGGAATTTTAAAAGGGAGGGTTTGGGGTTTTTTTAAAAAGGTTTGAGGGGTTGCACCATTGGAAATTCTCTTGTTTTATTGCACCTGCTGCTGTTAGGATGTTTGGGGTTCTTTTGGGGAGGTGATTTGATTCAAGGACTTCAAATCAATGCTGATTGCAGCCCTTAGCTTGGAAACATATCCCCCCCTCCCGCCTCCCCGCTTAGCATCAAAAGTCTGCCTCTTTGTTTCCAGTTCCCATAAGCCACAGACAGGCAAGGATGATGGAGCTGTGGCTTCCCAAAATTCTGCTTTTCTTTTCTCTGGGCGGTGAGCTTGGTGTGGCCGAGACAACAATTCTTGGAGAGACTAACCTGTTTTTCCAATCCAACAATGTTGATTTTTAAAAAAGGAAATAAAACTTCTAAAGAACCCCAGAAAAACCAGTTTTTGCTTCCAAAGGCCATTCTATAGACTCTTCCTCCTCCTCCTCCTCCTCCTTTTTGGCAAAATTAACCATCAGATTTAGTGGAAAAGCAAAAAATGGCTGCATCCTCCTTTCTCTTTCCTTGTGTCTTCTTAACACCCCTGCAAGGGAGGCCAAGCTGAGAGATGCCAAATGCTCCCAAGTCATGTAGCCAGGTCTGTTTGAAAATACTTGTCGTTTCTTTGTAGCAGGCTGGAGCAAAGGGAGGTTTAAAATTGCATTTTTATATTTGACAAACTGTGGTGGAAATAATAATAATTATAAAAACAACAACAACAGACAGACAGACAGACAGTAAGTGCTGCCTATGCAAAGAAGCTGAAGAAACAGTGGACCATCTGGTAAGCTCCTGCAAGAAGATTGCCCAAACTGACTACAAGCAGCGGCCTGACAAAGTAGCAACAATGGTGCATTGGGAGATCTGTAAGAACTATCACTTGCCTGTAAGCAGGAACTGGTGGGGCCATAGAATAAAAGAAGTCATAGAAAAAGGAGAAAGTTAAATACAAAGACCTGCAAATAGAAATAGAACGACTGTGGAACTGTGAGATTCTGGGTCTCAGAAACACAAATTAATTCAGGGAAGTTAGCCTGGTCAGCTATTCAGGGACTGCCTAAAAGAAGGATTACATTGCAAATAACCTACAAAATTGCATTAGTGAAATGTCAGCTTCCTGGCTTGTGACTAGGGTGTATTTATAGCTGAAGTTGGTGCGGGGTGGGCGGGATATTTTACAACTTGAGCTAATTTTAGAAAGCCGCTTTGGTTGAGAAAGAGCTGGGGTTCTGGATACACTGGTGGGTTTGTTAATCTGGCTCTAATTCATTCACGTCTGGATAAAACCGGAGAAGAGTATATCCAGATTGCGATTATAATCAAGTTCCGCATTCTGTTTTACTGTTTTGAGCCCAGCCAGGGAATGTTAGAAGTGGGGGAAAAAATTGGCCAGATTTTCTAAAACACATTCTCAAACCGCTTGCCGGAAAATTATTTTCTTTTTCTGATACACTATGAAATTGGCTCCTTTCTAATAAAAGCAGGTTACAGTGCTAAAAAAAAAATAAATGGGAAAAGTTGCCCGTTTTAAGAAGTTGGGCACATAGAGAAAACTTTTTTTAAAGCAGAGCCAAAAAGGTGAAGAAAAATAACTGCCCAGTGTCTCTGGAAGTGGAGTGACAGATGCATGTAATAAATTATTATTCATATTAAACTATAGAATTGTTTCTGCCCTATTAAGCAGTTCCTCTTTTTTGTAGATTAGACTGATAGGTGGGTGTGGCTTGGTGGGCGTGGCAGGGGAAGGATACTGTAAAATCTCCATTCCCTCCCCACCCCACTAACCTGCTTTCCAGCTCCGTTCTCCTGGGCAGGGCAACCAAAGAAGACCCAGCCGACTCGAAATTTCCGCTACCGGTTCTCCAGAATACCGCTGAATACCACCTCTGCTTCTAACCAGTTTGATGGCTCCAAATCTTTATTTTCTCTCTCTCTCTCTTTGTCTTCCCCCTATTTGCAGCTGGGGAGTTCCCCTTGGCATCACCACGGCCGCCGTGGCCTTGAAAAAAATCGGTTACGACGCGTCAGATGTGTCAGTTGGCTGGTGCTGGATTGACATCAATGCCGAAGACCGGCTTCTTTGGATGCTGCTGGCAGGGAAATTGTGGGAAATCCTCGCTTATGTGACCTTGCCTTTTTTTTACATCCTGATAAAGAAACACATCAGCCGAGCGGTGAGTATTTAGAAAGTGATCAGATAAGCAGGAAGATACTTCGGGAAGGGAGATAGGGGCTGTGATGACCCGGGGCACGACACAAAAATAACCAAGTCACAAAAAATAGAAGAAAGTCCCTTTAATGCCTCCAACTTGGCCCCAATGTCCAATTATCCTCGGCTGGGTATCAAACTCTTAAAGAAAACAGTTTGAGGAGGAAGTAAATGCAGTCCTCACCCAAAGTAAACTTAATTTGAAATTAAAAAACCCAACACAAACCCCACTGAGGGAATTACTAAAGCAGGCAAGGATGATTAATTGTAGACTTCTACCAGGTAACGCAGCAACCAAAACACAAACTCGGACAAGAATAATGCATGCTTTGCTTCCAGCAGCTTCGCCATGTGCAGTTTGTCCTTTAAACCAGTCCTCCCAGCTGCAGCCCACGAAGGGGATTAGGGCCCCTTCCTCCCCCATAGACCACGCCACTCATGTTTCTCCCTTATCCGCTCCTCCCTGCGTGCCCTAGGATGAAGGAGGGATGGGCCTGGGTCTTCCTCTGAATGCCCATCTGGCCTGTGCCCCTTCCCCAGTTTCTCCCACAACCACCGGAGCCTCACTCCCACTTCCTGTCGGCTGTTCCATCTCTCCCTTGGAGTCAGATTCCAACAGGGGCATGACGGGCTATAGAGCCATAGAAACCTCCCAAAATAATTATACATCTAACAAGGGGGGTGGGGGGCTCCCTGTTTTCTTTCCCAGCACGCAGCCCTCTCGGAGTACCGGCCTATTTTATCCAGGAACCCGTCTTCCCAAACGAGAGCCGCCTCCGTAGCGGACAAGAAGCTGACCTTAATCCCGATCGTTTTCATCTTCCTGCGTATCTGGAGCACCATCCGGTTTGTGCTGACGCTTTCCGGCTCCCCCGCAGATCAAAACTGGCTCCTGGTGGTTCTTCACGTGAGTTTGGAAAAATAACCGAGTTTCCCCCCGCCCCAAAATAAAAATAAAAATAAATAACAGGCTGCCTGGATGGGCCTTCCTCCTCCAGCTGCCTCCAGGTGTGCAGCAAAGGATTCTGGGAATTGAAGTCCACTCTGATTAAAAGCCCAGGAGGCCTTTTGTTGTTGTTTTTTGTTTGTTTCAGAAGCAAAATAAATAAAAATTCCTCTCCTTTTCCCACCAGGGTGTCGGGAACACCTTTCAAGGAGCTGCAAATTGCATCCTCTTTGTCTTTTGCACCCGAGTCGTCCGGAATAAACTCTTGTCTTCCTTGTGCTGCTGGCGACGCTCAAACCCGGAGCCTCCCCCGCCAAGTTTGGAGACCAGCTCCCAAGCAGAGGCTCCCCTTTGCATAGACTGGGAGCTGCAAGGCAGCAATGGCGCAGGGGGAGACTTATCCAGCCCCTGAACGTTGGCCTGCGTCGTGGTGGAAATCACCTTTTTGCCTGGTGCGACTCTTCACCGTGAGTGTCTTTAGCTTGCTTTAATTTTGCAAGGTGGGCTAATGGAGTGGAATGGAATAGAAAATAAGAAATCGAATGAAGAATAGTAGAATAGACTAGACACCCTGGGTGTGTCATAATTCATATTCTCCAATGGGACACATCCATAGCCCAGAGTCATCAAACATACTCTCTATTTAGAACTGTGCGTGGCAGAAACTTCAGTCACCTAGTTACTATCTTTGAAAAACTATGTATGGAATGCACTTTCAATTTCTGAGCTGCCGCACTGCTCTTTCAAACCCCTTTTCCCCCCTCCCTTTCTGTTGGCAACTCTAAAAAGACCATAGAAATATTTTACGAGTTGACATCTTTTTTTTAACGTGCTAATAAACCTTTTTTTTTTTTTTTTTAAGTCAACGCTTTCTGATGCATCTTTTTCTCCGACTTCTCGACAGGCAAGCTTTTTTTCAATGCCCTTGTAACTTTGAACGGTTAATAAAGAAGCAGGCTCTAAATTGAGAATTAGCTGTGATATATATGGCTTTGGATTTTTTTTACTGAAACTTATCCTTTCATTGGTCCTTGTTTGTGTTTTGTTCGAACAGGTAAACCAAGATGCCGAGTGCCTATCACGGATGATACCCATTCACCCGAGGAAGAAAAAAAAATAGACTTTTGGACTTTTTTTTACAGAAAAAGAAAACAGTTAAGAATTTCACCATAAAATGCCTGGATTGGAATTCTTCCAAATAAGTTTTCTCAGGGTGTTTTCTTCCTCCTCCTCCTCCTCCTCCTCTTCCTCCTCCTCCTCCTCCTCCTCCTCCTTTTAAAAAAAGATGCTATGAAGACATGTTGTTTTTTTAAATTTTTAATTCAAGTTTTAAGCATAAAAGAGAACGTGTGGAGTGAAATGTTAAGGAGCGAGACTTTCCAGGATTAAAGGGGGAAAGGAAAGCCATTGTCTGTCAGCACCCTCTTTGGAAATCATAGAAGAAAGAGAGAGAGAGATTATAGGTCCCATCATCCTCAACTAGCCTGATCAGGGATGGACGCTGGAGTTGAGCAATTGCCTACAATTTTCTGCTTGAAATGATGCCTTCAAGAGAGATACTTGTGGTCCTTTGACTCTGGGAGGACTGTAGCGAAGGATGCATATCAGTTAATTCTGATTTTATCGCAAGCCACTCAGGAAAGCGATCAACTCAATGGACACCCACAATTTGGGGGGATGCTGCTTTGTTGACCTTCAAATAAATGCTGCAATTTTTTTTTTAAAAAAAGGGGGGTGCAGGCTAATTTTTCTTGTTCTGTATACCTCACTTCTCTCTGTGTGTTTGTGCGTTTTAAAGATCAATGCCACAAAAACTCTTAAATGTACAGATTAAAATGTAGATTTTTCCATCCGCCTCGTTGAAGGGGGGCCTTTGAATAAAAGTGTTTTTTTTTAATGAATAAATAAATAAATGAGCTTTGAACAAAGGAACCAATTTTCTTTATTTGGCTTTTTTTTCTACTCTGCTTTAATTTTTTTTCTCCAGCAGTTCAATTTAGAGAGAATGACAAATACGCTTCAAAAGTGTGTCTCGGTGAATGTGAGAGGTTTTTTTTCCCCACACTTTGGTTTTCAATTGTTTTGCTACATTTTTAAAATTGTTTTCACAACGTTCTTGTATTTAAGTAACAATTTTTACTCAATTGTGAGACAAATTCTTGTGTGTTTAAACACACTTGGCCAAATAAAGTATTTCAATCAATTAATTCACCCATTTCATGGAAAAATGGGGTATTTAAATTAGGTAAATAATGAAAAACTGATCTAGGTGGACTTGGAAGAAAGTTTGAATAAAATTGGCTTAGAATTGACCACAAGGTGATTACCGGATGCTCAGATACGGAGGAACGTTGGAAAAAACTTTCTGTACCAAAAATGCTGGGAAAAATTATGTGCAGTCCCTGAACGTGGAATCCCCTGGATGTAAATTTATGCAAAACAGCCGCCTAACTGCCATTCTGCTTTTCCCGGAATGTTCCCGCCTCCTTTCCCTGATTGGCTCTCATGGCTGCTCCAGCATTTTTCATTTGAAAGAAAAAAAAAACAGCTGTGGTTTTTTTCTCCTCTTATCTCATCCAAAAAATAGTAAGTTGGCTTTTTAAAACAATATTTTAGCCTTAAAAATCTAAAATTTGGAGACTGGCTTCCCTTAAATGGACTGGCAGAGGAGCGGTGGAGCGTTAAGTGGGGTGCCAAACAAATTTGGGGAATTTGTTATAACAATTAGGAATTGAACACGCAGTTCTCAGGCCGACATTCAAAAGAAAAGGTGTGGGAAACCGTTTGTTTGTCCCCTTTTATCTGAGAAAAGCCGTCCGTCGTTAGGGTTCGATGGAGCCTCCCTGATCCACAGCTGTCTACCTTGGAAAAGGAGTCATCAGGGAGAACAGCTTGGAGAGGATTCGGGGGGAGAATCATTTATAAATATGGTGGAAGAATAAACAAAGGGAAATACTTTTTTAAATTCTTTTTTTTTTTTGGCTTGATCTCCCTGGAAGGATGGAGGACAAAGAGGAACCGGAACCCATAATCCGAAATGATGTGAGTTTGGAGAACTGGTGAGGTTGGGGTCCATCTTGATCTGTGGCTGTTTCTGAGCTTCAAGGCAAGGCAGGGCAGAGAAATTATAAATGATTTGTAAAGTGGATCAGCTCTCAACTGGATATTTAAAGAAAAATTGCAGTGCCTAGACAATCATTTGGAATCTCCTAAATCTCAGTTGGTTGGTTTGTGAATGAGACACCACCAGGAGATGCCAGGGGTCCAAACTAACTTGGGGAAAATAATTCACTTTCCCCTAACCATAAAGCACGTGCAGAAAGTCTGCTTTCTTCCCATCCAAGCCGGAAATTGGAAGGGTGAAAGGAGAGGGGAGGTCTAAGATGTGTTCTGGGTGTTGTGTTGGTTTTCGTCCTCTCCGCTAAAGGAATTGTGTTGTTGTTTTTCCTCTCCTGCACCTTTTCATAGAAACTGACTCGCCCGCTCGTTCTCTCATTAGTGGGGTCCAGTTTGGGGTCTTTCCAGTATGGATACATGTTCTACCTTATCACCAATCCTGTTGTGGTACGTGAGTCCTGCTGGGTGTCACTGGGTGGCCCTGGGTTGGGACTTGGCAGTGATTCACACAACCCGCCTTCCTGCATTAGGGTTGGTAAGAATAAGACCAGCGGTCCGCAAGGAATATAAATCCTTCCATTCCCCAACATCCGGTCAGAGCTGAAGAAGCTTTTTGGATGAGAAGTGAAATGCCTTCAAAAAAAACCCAGAAAGACCAGTTTCTTCTTGATTTGAGAAACCATGGTTTGTTTTCATTCAAGAAAAAAGCCCAGTGTGGTTTTCCATCTGACAGGTCTCATGTTTATCCACATTATTTGGAGGGAAAGCAGGAAGAAATGTCCCAAAGTTTATAAAAAAAAAATTATTTAGCATCTCTGCTCCAGATTCCTTCAAAGAATAACTCAGGATCTGGGTTTTTTTAGGGACGGTCAGCTGGCCAGGGATGTGATAGCCATAGGGATGTTAAGTGTAGCGGAGCCAGGCAGCTGGGAAGGAAGTGCAGCACCGTTGTAAGTTCTTGTTGCAGTTTTCCAATTTATGTTTTTAAGGTGAAGCTGCAATTGCTGAATCTTCAAAAGGAAGGAAGCAAGAAAGACACTCTGCGTTTCAAATTCTTACTATTACTCATCATTTTGGTGCCACTTGGACGCCTTTTCGGAGTGTATCTTTGGGGCTGTCTGGCAGACAGATACGGCAGGTATAGTAGGCACAGGTTAGAATTTCTGGACTGTGGATATAGCGATAAAGTGCCAAATTTCGGCTGTTTCTGTCGGCATTGGTGCCATCCACTTTCCTGCCTACCCACTTAGCTCCTAACCCCCAGATAACAGAATTTGATCCATTGAAAGGAGAACCAACGTTTAAATTAACCAAGATTAACAGCTGTGGTAATATTCTATATATTTTGAAAAGTTTATTTGCTCGGAAAATCATTGGCTTGGGCCTTCTAGCATCAGCAATAAGAACAGATCCCAGTTCTAACCTTATCTACTTCATCTCTCTAATTCCCCTGATGTCAACATCTGGATGGTTACAGCACACACGTTAAAACTCACGGTGAAGGTCTATTTTGTGTTTTGCATAATCTCCTACGAATTGTTCCTTTAAAACAAGACAATCAAGATGCTACATGCTGGTAGTTCAGGACTAAAAAAAAAAATAGCATTTTTGTGATTCTTGTTTCCTTGAATGAGTCACTTTCTCTGTCTTTTCAGAAAATCCACCCTGTTAATTAGCAATGGAATTAGTATTTTTTCATCTACCATCTTGTGTTTTGACATCATTTTTCGGAGCTTTGAGTTCAGCCTCTTGGCTTGTTTTATTGTAGGAATAGCAACAGGTGAGTCCTTACCACTTTGTTATACGCCCCCAAATAAAAGGGCTGAACTCTGCCTTTACATTAAAGGCCCCTTAATTTAGGATTGGGGAGGTAGGAAGGGGGGATGACAGGGTGACAGAAACCCAAGCTGTCAATCTGGAGCAGACCACCGATCAAGGACAGAGCCGTGAGAACGGAATGTGAAACCGCCAAAGAGGCGCCAATCCTCAAAGCTGTTCCTAAAACATCTAGTGTGTATATCATTGGACGCTGATGGACTGGACAAGCAGGGAGGGCCAGGTAAGAGGTAAAATTGCAGGCTTTGTGCAGGAATATTGAGATCCAGGTTTGCTTACTCTATAAGTGCTTGACTTTAGTAAAAGTAATCCAGTCGCTTCACAATTGGAATTGAGGGTCTTTCTTTCCTAAACGCTCAAGACGGGAGAAGCCTGACAGTGGGTGTCTTGGCACCTAGGAATCAGGATGGTCCTTTGCAAATATTCTGAGTGTACAATATGCAGTTATTACTTCCGTTAGTAAGAAAACAGGGCAGTGAATCCCCCGTGAGGTCAGTCATAAGTTTAGTCGTAAGGAGACGGCAGTCATACCCGTGAAATGAGAAGGAAGAGCAGGTTGGGAGAAAAGGGCTGGTATAGCAGGGCCTCTTTGCACGTGCTCTAATTTCTTGGCTCTGGGTTCAGCTTCGAGATATCAGCCGAAATCCGAACGCCAGGCAGGAACAAGTGACGATTAAATTGGACAGCACAGCACTGTTATGCCACAGTGCTCCCTAACTTGGACATTCAAATCAACCAATCTCAGGACCAGTTTGCTCCTATGTTCTGCACTTGCTAGAATTCAAGATGCGACTGAAATGCAACGTTTAATCCCTTCTACAGGAACATTTAGTTACTCCGTCCCTCTCTACGTTCTTGAAATCTCTCCCTTGAATCTGAGGGGAGCCTTGGTGATCACTTCGTTCCTTTTCCTCACCTGGGGATACTTTCTGTCTCAAATCTTAACCAGCCCCCAGATCTGGGGAAATGAAGAAAGTAAGTATTTTCACCTCCATCCTTGCTGCAAACTTGAACTCGTGCTAAGCCAGGGAGGGTGTCTTTCCATTGTCCTGACGCAGAGGGAATAGAAAAGAGAAAGTTTACTTTTAAAACCTGAATTGCAGTCAACGACATTCTAACATTCTCTTTCTCTCCCTCCGTCCCTCTCTCGTTGCCACAGATTTTTCGTTATTAGTGGCAGTTACAGCCATATTTTCTATAATTAGTAGTATACTTTTGGTGCCTTCTCCGGAAAGTCCAAGGTTTCTCTACTTGCAGAGGAACGACAAAGAGAAAGCAAGACAAGGTACAGCCGTGTGCGTCTGGCCTTATGTCCTTACGAGCCACTCACCTGGGCCAAAGGGAGGATTCAGGCCTATAGCTCTTCAGATCTGCAGGGCTTGGTGGCTCCATCCAACTGTAGCCCCTTTGTACATGTTCTTGTCTTCCCCTCCTCTTCCTCCCCCTTTAGTCTTGAAGGAGCTGAGGGGGGAAGAAGACGTAGAGGAGGAGATGGAAGAACTTCGTCAAGAACACCTTGCCGAAAGCAGCCAGAAGAACTTGACACTGTGGAAACTCCTTCGCTTCCGCAGCCTCCGGTGGCATGTCTTCACCGTCGCGATCTTGACTGCCGGAAGTCGATTTATGCAAACGCATGTGGTTAGTGACTTCCCCGAGCAACCTCGCGTAGAACGGATGTGCCATTTGCTTTTTCCAGGGTTCAGATTTGGGCTCTTGGTCCTTCTCCAAGTGCCGTCCCTGGAAGCTTTCAAGAAGAGACTGGCCTGCCGTTTGTCAGAAGGGGTGTAGGGTCTCCTGCTTGGGCGAGAAGCAAGAGGCAAGACAGTTGAGATAGTTGGTGTGAGAGAATAGCGTGTCGGGGTTCCATCAGTCCGTAGCGAGCAAAACTCTGAGGCAGGTTAATTCCTCAAAGGATAAGCTTTATTGGAAAAATCATATTGGTGCATATCTGGTGAAAACTGACTCTAAAGGTTCCATGGTTGGACCTAGTTACATGGTCCAATCTGGTCGTCTGGAGACCTCCCTTCCATGGTCCAGGTGTGAGAATGTCCTTGGGCGGGGGGGGTTGGACTAGATGACCTAGTAGGTCCCTTCCAACTCTGATTATCTGTTATCTGTTCCTGGACTCCAGGACCCCAGAGGGGTGCAGAGGTAGCTGTTTACATTTCACAAAAGGGCACCTCGTGTAATAAGATTGGGATTAGGTTAGCGACTTCTGTCCTCACTGTGATTTGTGTTTTGGGTGTGTGTGTGTGCATGAAGGAAGGCTCAATCAATCTCATTATACACACATTGTACTCTGACAATAAAGGGAATAATAATTCCCCCCCCCCAAAAAAAGCCACGCCCACCCAGTCACATGGCCATGCCCACCTAGCCACACCCACAGAACTGGTTCTTAAACATTTCAAACCCCACCCCTTGTTTAAAGACCCCATCATTCACTCAAGGAGACAGATGAGGGGGGCTCGGTCATGGGGACAAATTCCATGCTACTGGTGACCTGGAAAAGGTATACAGTGCTGCTGTATACAGTATTATTGTACGCCACTTCAGCGAACAGCGGTAGCTCTATCCAATTAGGCTAGACAATTAGATAATGGACAACACACCTTAAATACTTAAATAGGGAGAAGGCAGCTCCGCTTTAATAGTTCCCTATCGAGTCTAAGCTTTAGGGGCTTTAGTTTAGCAAGATTCTGTCTGCAGGTGATGAATCCACTTAGAAAAGTTGCCATAGGGGTTTTTAGAGCCTGACCCAAGTTCCGTGTGTGTCTCCATCTGCTCCTCTTTTGCCTTTGATTGCAGATTTTAATTTTCGCCCAGCAAAGCTATAAAACTGTAGGAATGTCGGCCAAAGCGGTGGAGCGCCTTCTATTAGCAGGAAACTTGATCGTCCAGCTGATGCTTCTAACAACCGTAAGCCACCTCGTATCCCCCACTTGATTATTGGTTTGTTCGTATTTCTGCCTCCATCATCCCACCAACTTAGAGCAAAGCGATACAACCAGCAGGAGCAGTTCAAATCAGCGAAAACACGATCGCAAAAGCGAAGACCAGGATTATTTTAGCCTCCATGAAGAATTGTGGGCTCCTTTGTTTGATGATCCATTGGTTTGTGTCCTTGGTTATCCAGGGGTTTTCTCAGGATTTTTCTCCAGTGGCCCGTAGCGTCAAATCTCTTCCGCTTTGCTTTTTTTTCCTAGATCTGCATCGTTGACGCCTTGGGGCGGAGATTTCTCCTTTTGAGTGGCTTCTTGATGTGTAGCATCTCAACTATTGCCCTAGTCTTCACTTTTCAGGTGGGTTTCATTCCTTCTCTATGCACCAGGACAACTTGAGTGCCCTTCTGTTAACATCCCTGTGCTTTGTCTCACACACAAACCTTCCCAAGCCAGATAAAATCGGTCTGGTCCATTCCATCCAGTTGGTCGGTTTCATCATCCATTTCACCAATCTGTCAATTTCACCAATCCATCAGTTTCATCCAGTTGGTCAATTTCACCAATTCGTCAATTTTGACCTGTAGGTCAATTTTAGCCATCTGTGAATTTCATCTAGTTGGCCAATTTCACCAGTCCCATCCATTTTACCAATTCATCAGTTTCATCCAGCTGATCAATTTCACAAATCTGTCAATTTCATCCAGTTGGTCCATTTCACATAGAGTTCAGGCCAGGTTTCTCTTAAATGGGGTTACTACCTTAATGGTCACCCCATAAGTGCTTCCTTCTTCCCCACAGATCGACAGCCCCTCATTGGCCCTCATCAGCATTGTTTTGATTATCATCTTCCTTATGGGCTTTGTAACGGGACCAGGTTTGTGATCGATGGGATACGGAGTCTTCGCAGGTGGAAAAAGACCAAGGGAAGTTTTTGCGGTTGTTGCTTTAATAAACATACAACCTCTTCTCTCCATTCCAGCTTCCATTCTTTCCGTGATTATCGGTGAATTGTTCCTCCAGTCATCCCGAGCATCTGCGTTTGTAATTTCTGGATTAATCAATTGGGGAATCCATTTTGTTTCAGCCTTGCTGTTTCTTCTGATTAAGGTAATCCTGTAATCCAGGGGTTTCCAACCTTGGCAACTTTAAGACCCGTGGACTTCAACTCCCAGAATTCCTCAGCCAGCA